CTCCAGAGGGTCTGAGCCTCATGAAGAATACAATTCTGAAGGAGAAAAGATGAGCCAGCATGTTTTTGTATGTTATCAAGGACATAGAGCACAGGCTGTAGATGGATGATCTCCCAGGAGAGAAGGAAGACTAGAGAAGAAAGAGAGTCAGCATGGGATCATGGTCATTGTGCCAGCCTGCTGGCCTTTCAGGAAAGAAGGTGCCTTCTTATTCCACCACCTTGATAGTGTAGGAAGGATCATAGAGGCAGAACAATCTTCTCATTATCCAGCACTAACACACAATGACATCTTCACTAACACACAATGATGACTTCAGTCAGCCAAGTTGCTTGAATAGGGTGACGTGAAGGAAAATACCCAATACAATCTCCCATCCTCCAGAACTTAGATAACACTTTTCCTCTAAAACAAACTAGCATTTCAAACTTTAATTTTCAGCATGAAGTTCTAGAATTGCTATCTATCACATGAAATCATGTGCATAGATTATATTTTCTTTCCTGCTTGAAAAATAACCTGGAATAATAATAATAATAATAATAATAATAATAATAATAATAATTAAAATAAATTAACTTATATATATATATGTTGATAATAATAATAATAATAATAATAATAATAATAATAATAATAAATTAACTTATATATATGTTATATATAAGTATATATATGATACTGCAGAATTGAGCCGCATGAAGGAAAAATGGTTTTGTGAACTGTGAAAATCTGAAGCTGATCTGCAAGGGAAAAGAGGAATTCTGATTCATTATTTAAATCAAGACTAGCTCCTCTACATGTGGATTCTCTGTGATGCTTTCTAGTCTTGCAGGTAATTTTAGCAAATGTGTCAAATTTGCAATTCTGTTGTGCAGGGGTTGAAAGCTGTGAGGGGAGAAAGAGCCAGGGGAATGAGGAAGAAGGAGAAGAAGATGAGACAATAACAGAGACAATGGTAAAGACAGCTAAGATTCTTAGACACCACTAAGTACTAGGCATCTTGCTATCTGCATGTGCCCCTTTGCTAATAATACTCAGTTGTCCTATTAGTTTGTTAGTATTGTTAAATGCAAAATGAGACACTGAACATTCTCATTATTTCTAACTTTTACATTCACTGAGGTCATGAAGGGGAAAATACCTTCTCTTTCTAGCTCTTGGTACACATCTAGGTTCAATCCCTCACATCATGGAATGTAGAGCTGAAGGGAGTTGCAGAACCTTAGGAGACAAGGCAGGTAAGATGCTTGGTCATCACCTGCTTGTTCTCCCTACCTCCTTACAGGCATCTGAAGAGGGCCTATTGCAGCATATATTGATTGTTATTGACATCGGGAGAAAATTTTGTTTACCTCTCACCAATATAACACACATCTCACTCTTGGAAAGTTCTATATTCATTTACTGAGGATGTGCAAGCAGCAGGTAGACATAATCTGTTTGGAGACATAGCTTTTATCTCTCAGATCTGCCCTCGTCATCACCTTGGAAAAAGTAGGGTCTTAGAGCAGTGCTTAGAATATGTCACAGTTTTGACATGTTAGCCCATTTCCCCAAATTCTCAGCTTTTATTCCTCTGCTCCTCCTTGCACATATGGAAGTAGCTTAGAAGCAGGCAACACAACAACATCAACAACACAACAGAGTCTGGAAATGGTATAGCTAGCTGCCTGAAAAGTGGGACTAATCATTATGAATAACAAATAATCATAAACATGCTTTTCAGGCTGAGCGACAGGGTCAATGACAGGAATTCCTAACAAGGCCAAGAGCTGAGCAAATCGTCTCTTGATTTCTCCACTGAGAATAATTTCATGCAAATCCAAGAAGGCTAAGCCGCTGCTGCTAATCCACCATGTGTGGTGACTAATTTTATTAAGTGAAATACAAGAAAGAGAAAGATCTTTGCAGTACAAGTGTACACAGCTGACTGCCTTGGCCTAAACGCTGTGCCCTGCGGCTGTGCACTGTGAAGCAGACTGATTAGTTTGTTCTGCAGGCAGCCTCAAAACAGAGGCAGAGCCTGTGCCAACCCACCCCAGGAAGACTTGTGAGCATTTTACTGTGTCCACTCTGCCTCACTGGCAAAGTGGAGAACAACCATTTATCTTGACTTTGAGGTAACCTTGCCACTGAGTAGTTGTGTTGACAGTATTTGAAAAACTTTATATTCCTTCACTCAAAACCCACAAACACTAAAATTGTGTAATTTACAATTTTAGATAAACCAGCGCCCTTACTCTTGAGTGTTAGCAGATAGAAACTCAAACTGGAAAAAAAAAAAAAAGGATTCCAAAGGACAGATGGGGCCTATAAGTAACTGGACAGGCTTCTTATTTATGCACATAAATTTCCACTCCAAAACATCTTAGTAAATCTAATTAAATACAGACTTCATCTGAGCTATTTTACCCTAATGCATATCTTAAATACATATACAGGAGATGTGAGTAAGAAAATTTACCAAAAGACATTCATAGGCAAATGTATTTATAAATACTCAAATGTGGAAGTACCCAAACATATACTGATAGGAAAATGGATGGTTAAAATGTGCTGTAAAGATGCAAAAGCATGTTTTACATGGATATTAAAAAACAGAATACACAACATCCAGCAATATGAATACCTTCCCTAATAGTAAAATGATCCAGAGAAAACACAGAAAAGCAAGATTGCAAGATACCATTTATATTAAGTTCAAGGACAAAGAAAATATGAGGTGTTGGAAATCAAAACACTGGTTGCTTCTTGAGGTGAGACACTATCTGAGAAGGCTCCAATGAGCACTTTGGAATGATAAAAATTATCAGTGTCTCTACTTGAGATGTGGTTACATGCATATAAACATTTGAACAGTTGCACCAAATTGAAATCTACTGTTGAGTATAGTATGGGTATGTAGTTGACTGTGTGTGCCACAACTTAATTGAAAGCCAAAAATTTCTGAGAACAAAATAAACAATACAAAATGAAACAGTAGCTGCATTAGATAATTAAAATACAGAGGAACTACAAATTTGTAGTTAGTGACGATAGATGTATACCCTGAGTCAATGTTTCTAAAATTCTTACTACCACAGCTGAAGCTTAGGTCATATTTATCCTTTGGGGTAAAAGATTGGAATAGCAAAAGTGCACATATTCAGCCTTTTCGTATAGGGATCTTTCTCAGGATCCTCAGAGTTTATATAGTTGTATCAGTTTTGTGTCACTATGGTGGAATTTCTGAGGTGACAAACTCTGTAAAGAGAAAAGATCTATTTGGCTCATGAGTTTAGTGGTTCAATGGCCAAGATCAGACAGCCCATTATTTTAGTCTCTGATGAGGGCACTAGATAGTGGCACATTGTGATAGAGGAACATATATGTGGAAGATGCACATTGCTAAACAAGATGTTAAAGAGGAGAGCAAGAGATATTGAAAGTGTGTGTGCGCATGTGTGTACACACGCACCCCCCACGATACATGCCCTGTGGTCTGAGTTACAGAGTTCTAATGGCATGTTCCAATGACATAAGGGCCTCCTCATAATGAGAAATTGCTCCTAGCTTCCCCAGCTGTGTCCAGGGACTCAGATTTTAAGGTGGTGCAGCATTATGGGTAGGTGGGGGTTCACACAACATGCCCAACCTCGACAGTTACCATTTTAGATTTTTATTTTTTGTTTGCTTATTTATGTTAAAACAAAATTTATTGATTAAGACTTGCCAAAATTATTAGATTAGCTTAGAGTATACCATTTATGTTGAAAATAGAGCTTCTTTTTCATGATATATTCCGATTATAGTTTCTCTCGCTCAACTTCTAGATCTTCCCCACTTCCCCACCTGCCCAATCTACATTCTCTTTCTCATTAGAATACAAATAAACCTGACCAAATGAGAGCACACAGACCCCAGTCATGAAGCTGGGGAACCAGCATTGGACCGTACCAAACCCTCTGAATGTGGGTGTCACTTAGGAGGCCTAGGAAATCTATGGGACCTCTGACAGAGGAACCAGTATTTATCCCTAGTGCACAAATGGACTTTGGAAGCCCAGTGCCCATGGAGGGATACTCTGTCACCCCAGATACATGAAAGAGGGCCTAGTCCCTCCCCCAAATGATGTGACAGACTTTAATGATCCCCCATGGAAGGCCTTAGTTTCCCTCGGGAGTGGATGGGGTGGGGGACATGGGAGGACGGTAGGGAGTGGGAACTGAGATTGATATGTAAAAAGGATGGTTTCTAAATTTTAAAAAGAATACAAATAGGCATATCAAAATGATAGAAATAAAAAAATACTTAGGAATTTAATAACAATCTCTTCCATTAACCATTCTACTATTTTCACTTACGGTGTTGATTTTTACGTTAAGAATAAACAAACCCTTGTGGTTTTCTAAAAGTGGATCATTCCCTGGCAATGGAGCTAGTCAAAGAGCATGAGTTGATTCCCACAGCCTCTGTCTGAGCCATATGTTAGCTCTAGGTTATTAAAGTATTTAAGGAAGTCATGCAGCATACTAAGAAATTTGGTATGTAATGGGGGCACATAAAGCTATAAAAGAGATTTTATAATCAACAAGGTACAATAGGGAGATCTTTGAAAATATAAATCCTAACTATATAAATTTCTTTGCCACAAAGTCAGATGAACACTTAGAGTTGATACACTGGAAATGGAATACATAGAGCTCATTAGTATAAGGATAACAGAGATCTTGTGAGTGGTAGGAGAAAACTGTATGTGAGAACTGTGCGAGAGAGTAGCATGAGTGACAGCTTCAGACCTCATTAGGAGTCCATGAGTGCACTGTTTTTCTGTTTTTGCACCCTCAGAAGTAATACAGAAGGGAATGCCATCGGTAGATTCCTGACAGGTGTTTTCTGCGGGAGTTAGAGAAGGGTAATGGTAAGCTGCATTGGTAATACAATGGTAATGCCCAAACCTAGGCATGTGCATAGTGGAAAGGAGGATTGCATACACAACTGCTGAACACATGCTCACATCACAGGCATTGATACAGTGAAATGGCTTTTTCTCCCTTTTCAAATATTTAAATTAGTATAACCTTGGTTTAAGGCAGTTTTATCATCCACAGGCTCTTTGAAAGCAATAAAATATTATAATCTATAGGAGAACTAGGAAATTACATTTTTTAAAAAAATAATGTCAAGGGGCAGGGGATTTGGTTGTGAATTTTGGGAAACATGGTGATGGGACAGGATGGCGTTTCACATGGTTCTGAGTGAGGAAATACTACATTATGCTTTGGAAGTCTAAGCTTCATCAAGTTCTCATAAACAACTTAATAGTTTTCATTAAGATATTTCATCAGCCCCCAAGGAAATCTGTTAAAACAGACAAAGGGGAAGTTCTATGATTATATTTTTATAATTCTGTCACACTTCAAGTAATATTTCATAGCAGTCATGAGGAGTCACAAAGTGAACACTTCAGAGAAAAACAAGACAGTGGAATTGATTTATTCTTGAGGAATAGTTTAATGATGCTAGATGCAAATTTCTTAAAAGCAGTATGCTTTAATCTGAGGTCTAAAATAAGTTATACATCTGAAGCAAACATTTTAGCTTTAAAATAATCTGAAATGTAGCTAGCATATACTTTCTGAATGTACTACATGCCATCCTACCTTTCAGTTTTACTTTTTATTTACAGTGCAGATATTGGATAAAGACCTTCTACATGCTAGGCAAGCATCCTACCACAGAACTGAACTCTTAATACCAAAATCTTGTATGTAGAATCTGCCTTAATATGTTGAACTGAAAGAAATAGAGTCATAGTGCAATTGATATATTTCTAAGGGCTGAAATCTCAAAGACTTAGAAACATGAAATTACTATTCAAATATCAAAAAATAATTATTAAAAATTTAAGTATGTTGACCTGACTTAGTGAGAGCACAGGGACCCCAGTCATAAACCTGGGGAACCAGCATTGGACCAAGCCAAGCCCTCTGAATGTGGGTGCCATCTAAGAGGCCTGGACAGTCTATGGGACCTCTAACAGTGGAGCCAGGGTTTATCCCTGGTGTACAAATGGACTTTGGCAGCCCATTCTCTATGGAGGGATACTATTGCAGCCCAGATACACAAAAGAGGGCCTAGGTCTTCCCCCAAATGATGTGACAGATTTTGATGATTCCCCCATGGAAGGCCTCACTATCCTTGGGGAGTGGGTGGGAGTGGGGTGGGGAGTGGGAAGGTGAGGGAATGGGGGATTGATATGTAAAATAAGATTGTTTCTGAAATAAAGAGTTTAAGTATGTCATGAATAAAAGTTCATTTTAAAGTATCATTAGCAGCATGTGGATATGAAGGGGTCATTTGAACTGGGTCATCTATATCACACCCACTCCTCCCAAGGTTTAGAGATTTTTAAGGAATAGGGAGCAGAAAGACGGTAAGAGATGCCAGAGGTGGTGCCAGAGGTAGTGGATGGCTTCCAGGAAACAGTGTCTTCTGTATGTATCAAGACACCTGCTCATATGAACTCACGACCATGACAGCATGCACAAGACCTGTGCAAACTCAAACCCACACTAAATCCCAGCATAAAGACACGAAGTCCTACCTATAGCCAAGGAGCTATGCACAGCTGACAGCTGCTAGGGAGAGGGATGGTCACTTGTCTTTAAGAGCTTAGTCCCTGCTAAGTCAACCATGCTCCAGTAGAAGGCAATATCCAAGAATATATGGGTAGAACAAATTGGACTTGCTGGGTGAAAAATTAAGTAATACACAAATTCAGGAGTGTGGGGAAGAAGGTGTGGATCTTTGAAGAATGCTGAAAACATATGAAGATTTAAATATCTAAAATATACTAATAGAATGATAACAATAATTCACAATTACAAGTCTCTCACAAGGAAATATAATACCATAAAGCTCTTAGATGATTCTTGAAGACCCTATTGATGGTGAGTGGAAAAGGGCAGTTCTGGTGTAGGTGCTTTAGGGTTGTAAATGCTCAAGGGATGAGGTGGGATCTTGATCCTGGTGCTACTGTGAGAGGTGGGAGAAGAGGTAACTTTAAGACCTGTGAATAAAATCCACATTCTAAATCTTTTTCACAGCTTCCTTCCTTCCTCTTCTCTCCCTTCTGTTTTCTTCTTTTCTTTCTTTCTTTCTTTCTTTCTTTCTTTCTTTCTTTCTTTCTTTCTTTCTTTCTTTCTTTCTTTCTTTCTCTCTCTCTCTCTCTCTCTCTCTCTCTCTCT